GCAGAGAGAGACTTCAGCAAAGCTTTTTATGCTGCCAGACAATGTATATTATGAGTATAATATACATATATATGAATATGTATTTGTATTCCCTCCAACCATTGTTTACTACACACTTAAACGCAGACAGAAAAATATATATGTACATATTAAATTTCTTTAATAAGCGACTTTGATTAAAGCGCTGTCCTCCATCTCGCACCCTCCCTAGCGCGTCAGCAGTCAAATTTTAGCCACTTTGTCCTTGTACTCTTGTACTCGCACTTTTCGGCAGACTTTCATTTTGGGCGTTGTTGCGGACACACTTTGTTTGAATAACTTTCTTTTCAGTTGAATTAATTTTTATGTTAATTAGTTGTTAACTGGATTTTATAGGCGAATAATTGGCGGTGACAGAATGTCAGTTACGGCCGTGCGAAGGTGTTTGGTGTAAACTTATTACCATTTCAATTAGATTCCTTCCACAAAGCATAGATAAGTTAGACAGGTATTTGCATAAATAAATGGAATTATCCTAAATGAATTAATTGTAAATTTTAGTGAAAATATATATAAAAAAATTAAATAAAATAAATGAGATTAAAAAAAACTAAAGAAGGAAACAGAAGAATTAAATAATATTAAATAAATTAAAACAGTTTAAGCTTAAATAATATTCAAATAAATAGTTAAATATAATATATTGTATAAATAAATTAAATTTAAAAAGGCTTCATTAAATAAAGCAGGCTCAAAAATTATTGAAACTAAATAAAATCGCAAAGAAAAAATAAATTATGTTAAATAAAATAAACAGAATTAAATTAATTTGAATAAGATAAAATGGAAGAATTAAATTAAATTAAATAGAAAAATTCAATAAAATTACTTTTTAATTTTTATTAAGTAAACTACGAGGCCTTGTTGTTTGTATGAATTGAATATTTGTTATACAACAAAGAAAAATGGTAGAAAGGACAGCTGTTTCGGAGATCACCACATCTCATCAGACTTCTTATGGCAGGGATCTAACCAACGAATACTGACTTAACAGCCGAGTGTTCTACCACTGCGCCAATTTAAATAAATTTAATTAAATAAAAGTATGATTTAAGATAGATAGAACGAAATATAAAAATATATTAAGTTAAATCGAATTATGCTAACTAAAATAAACAAAACCAAATAAATTAAAGAAAATAAAATAAAAAAATTTTGTTAAATAAAGTTAAATTAAATAAACAGGGTAAACAATTAATTTAACTAAAATAAATGTAAATAAAATTGAATTATTGATTTAAATAATGTTAACCAAAATAATTATATAGAAATAAATCTAAATAAACAAAAATGGTAAATATTAATCAAGTTAAATGGAAGAGTTAAATAAAAAAGTTAAAATAATTAGAAAGTATAAATAAAATTAAATTATATTCACTTAAATAGTTTAATGTAATATATAAGTAAATTAAACTATATTAAAATAAGATAAATTAAATAAAAACAAACTTATCTAATTACAACTAAATAAAATTAAATTAAACCAAAATATATTAAATAAGATAAAAAACAAAATGAAATAAATCGAAACCAAATAATATAAAATCAATTAATTAAATTAAGCGAAAAAAATCCTGCGCATTTATTTTAACCTAATTTAATTTCATTAATTTAAAATTAAATTAAAATAAATGTGAGGGTGAATTAAACTAAATTAATTTATGTTAACGCAAATAAATAAATGGAAATGAATCGAAATAAAATAAAATAGAAAAATTGTACAATATCTAATTAAATAGAAAAACAAAATAAAAATAAGATGAAATAATTGAAAAGGATAAAAGAAATAAAATTAAATTAAACTGAATTGAACTTAGTGATTAAATAAAAATAAATAAAAATCAGCATAATGAAATAATTGTGAATAAAATAAAATTGAAAAAATAAGTTAAGATAACTGAAAAAGAAAAAAATTATATTTAATAAATTATATTAAATAAAATTAAGTTAAATGAAATAAAAATGAATTAAAGTTAAGTAAAATTAAATAGATTGGTAAAATAAAATTAAATTAATTCAACATAACTTAAATAAAATAAAACAAATACCATTAAATCTTTATAAAATTAAATTTAGCTGAAATAATTGAAAAAACATAAAATTAATTTTATGAATTTAAACATAAAAATTAACTAATTTAAGTTAAATTAAAAAAATCAAATTTTATCAAATAAACTAAGCAAAGTAAAATAAATTTAAAAAAAAATAAATAGAAAAATTCAATTAAATTAAGTTATTTAATGTAATTTAAGATATATGTTCAATTAATTAATTAAATATATTTACAATATAACCAAATAAAATAAAATAGAGAAATAAAATAAAAATAAAAATAAAAATAAAAATAAAAATAAAAATAAAAATAAAAATAAAAATAAATAACACAAATGATCAGTTAATTAAAAATAAGTAAAACAAATAAATTAAGCAAACTAAATTAAATTAAATCATATTATGTTGAATAAATTAAACAAAACCAAACAAAATAAATTACATAAGCTAATTAAATTAAATTATTTATTATAAAATAACTCATTTCATTTAAAATAAAATTATATTAAATTAAAATAAGTTAAATAAAATTAATCAAAACTGGTTTACGTTCGGTTCCACTAGCCGGCTGATGCGCCTTACACATACTCATTGGTCCTTTGTGGTGCCCTATTGGGATCTAAAGCAGTCGTCGTAAAGAACATTAACACTTTTTGCTACGCACGAGAGCCTTAATTTCCAATGTTGAAACGTCTTTTCGAACTACTAAGCACCGCGATATCTCAGACGAGACCGGACAAATTCAAAGGTAGTGCTGTAACTTTTCACTCATTTCAAGAACAAAAAAAAAACGAAACGTTATGCCCTTGTGGCCTGTAAATTAGTATACGAGTATATGCAACCGTTTGCCCACTGCCGCCTTGTATAATGTTAAATTGAACAAGGAGTAAAATAAAATATCACATTACAATGATAAAAATAATAAAATAAAAGAAAATATTAAATTACATAAATTATGTTAAATTATATTATATTTTTTTATCAAATAAAAAAAATTTAATAAAAAGCAGAACCAAAAATAGAAAATAAAATTCAATTTTATTTAAAAAATAATAAACAAAAATAATAATATAACATAAAATCAAATTTTTAATACAAAATTCAATAAAATTATATTCAACAAAATGAGTTAAAAAAAAATTAATTAAGAGAAAAATAAAAGAGATTAATTAAATTAAATTACACAAAATTAGCATAAAATAATATTAAAATTCACATTAAGAAAGATAAAAAGAACAATAAAATAAAACAATTTTTTTTTTAATTAAATTAAATAAATTAAATAATAAAATAAAATTAAAAATAAATTATATAATACATATTTTGGTGAAATTAAATTAAATTAATTAAAATTAAAGTTAATAAAATTAAGTTAAATAAGGAAAATATAAAATATAATATAAAATAAATAGTTTCCATTTTGTTGGAAAAACATCAAAACGCAAAACCACAAATTGGAGGAGGAGGTCGGCCGAAATTGCTTCAGCGGTTACATTAAAATATTATTGAAATGAAAGAAAATAAATGATAAATAAATAAATTTAAGCAATAATAAAGTTAATTAAAATGAATTAGTTAAGGAAAATAAATAAAATTTAATATAATGAAATAATACTAAAACGAAATAATATGAAAACTAATAAAATGAATTTAAATGAAATTAAATAAGCTTAGTTTAAATTAAGTTCAACTGAATAAATTTCAATTACATTAAATTAAATAAAAGTAAAATACATTAAACAAAGCGAAATGAAATAAAAAAGAAAAAATAGAATGAAAAGTAAAAAAAAATTAATTAGAAAATAAAACAAAATCAAATAAATAATTTTGAATGAAATGTCATTAAATATAAAAATAAAGGAAATACACAAGTTAAATTTCAAATGATATCAATCAACAATTCAAAACACCTAAACCAAATTAGCTATAGCGCTCTAAGCGCCTCCGCATAACGGTCACAAGAGTATAATTTTAAATTAAACCACAATGACGCTCAATTTTCTTAAGCACACCTTAGGCAGACCACAAAATAACTTGTTAATGATTTCAGCGCGGTCCGAGGCATGTCCCACCGTTGTTAAGTTCTGCGACTACAACTTACTTAAGGTAAACAAAACCACTGCTATCTTCTGTAAACATGAATAAAGTAATTTTCACATTTTTTTTTTTTCATTTGCTTTTCTTCTTTACGCACAAGAAACTGCAATGAAACTTAATTATTTGCTCAATCAGGCATTTGCCGAGCTATACTGAGATGTAAATATATATGTATGTATATATTATATAATAATCGCTTAAATTATTTACGACCCAGATTCTAGTGTGTCTTGATTTTCATGCCAGATGAAAGAGAGTACTAAAGCTTCAAATTTTATGGAGGCACAAACTTGGTTTAGGTATTAGAACATTCTTTCTTAACGGCCATCAGCGGCAAATAGATGTACTTACATATATATAAATAGTCTTTAAATAGTCATATATGAAATCGTCTATTAGCTGTGTAATGAGTCTTTCATCTTTCATTTTGTGAAAAGCTTTTATTTTTTCTTCTCTCTGCAACAACTTATTCACTGTCATTGGTTGCTAATACATAAATACACTTTCTCCACTTAAGCTGGCAAGTTGTTAAGACACACGTGTTAATCAAAGAAAACGAAAAGTTTTTCCGAGCCGAGACAATTTTTACAGTTGAATAGCTGCCAAATTTAACTTTAAGATTGCTAACAAGAGAAAAGTGATTGCAGGCACTGGATGTGCAATGAAATTAGCTACATTTTTTTTTTTTTTTTTTTTTTTTTTTTTTTTTTTGGAACACACTAAACGCATTAAATATTTTTGAAGAGAAAAAATTGTAAAATTTTTATTAAAAATTTTTATCTCTACCAATTCCCTTTTCTTTCCTTACAGCAATGGACGCTAAGTTAGATGCACGTCAAGGACAATTTCCGGCTTCATTTCCGGATACATTTAAGGACTTTTTCGCTGTTATGAGCGAAGATGAAGATCATCTTGATTTGTTTTCAAATTTGCTGGAAGATAAGGTAATTATGAATTGAAATAAAGCTTAAAATTTTTATTAGATTAATTTAGAGCAGTTGGAAAAATTAAGCTGAAATTATTTAATTTTTTTTTAAGTTGGCGTGCAAAGCAAATATTTAAAATCCAATTGAGCAATTTTTTTTCAAATGAATGTTGCATAGCCTGTCTTTTCTTCGAGCTTTTTGATTTGATGAGATCTAGAAAATACGTTCAAATACAACCACAATAATTCATATCAATTGGTCTAACAGCTTCTTCTCTTTCATTGGCGCTTGCGCGTGAACCCCTCGCTCTTTTCGTTCTCTCACGTCTTTTGAAAATACTAAGTGTAGCCAATTCGCTCTCCACTTGATGTTTCTAACGGCGTGGAGGTTTTATTCTTTCTCTGCTTCCAACAGAGCGCCATAAATCATATGCAGAACTTTTCTCTCAAAGGGTGTCAGTGCCAACTTATCGGTTGCACTATATAAATAGTAGGACGGAATGAGTAAATTTCTTTAGATTTTTTGGTTCAGCAAAAGTGGATTTCACTTTCCTTTAGCATACTCAGTCCAAGATAGCAGCAAGTGTTGTTCTGCAATGGATTTCAAAACTGACAATATTATTGGTGTTAAGGCTGACACTTAGATAGATGAGCTTATATATGGCTTCAAAGTTATGACTATCAGCAGTGAGATAAGAGTCGTGTCGTGAGTGCGATGACAGAAGATATTTTGTCTTGTCCTCTTTCACTACCACATCCCTTTGCTTGGCATCTCTGTCAATCCTTGCGAAGACAGCGCTCATTGGCATGTTCTAGGCACTTAGAGAACACGTCCTTTGCTTGCGACGGGGTTCGGGCACAAATTAGTGAAATGTTGAAATGTGAAAATATTTATCCACCGCACTTATGGGAACTCATTATAGAAGGATGGGTTGCTTCTCAAACGACTTCTGCGGCAACTGCAGGTGCATAGATTAGTAGGAATCGGTGGAACACTACCGCTATCACTGCCGAGCTCTCAATGCAGTGCGTTATCGTTTTCTCGGAATATTTTCTTCTTCTATTATCTTGCAGAGCTTACATCGGTAGGCGGTCATTAATCTCCGGAATTTCATAAAACACACCGTGGTTTGAACATTTTGAAAGGCCATGGAAATCTTTTGATACAAGCTTCCGCCATCAAGTAACCTGTTAAACTAAACTATGTTAAACTCTTCACTGGAGTCAGTACTCACTCGTTTGGATGTGCCGCAATGCAGTTTCATTCTTGATTAGTGGTATATTTAAATCTCGAACAATCTGAGCGTTTGTAACGGAGCAAAGCAGGAAGAATTTCTAAATACAGAGGAGTTCCCCATAGTCGAATATCGTACACCCAATGTACGCACTGCTTTGTATAGGAGACGCGTATTGTTCACAGAGCGAGCAGTTTGATGATTTAACAGCAGACACATACATATTCCAAGGACTTTTCGCTTCGGAGACATGTTCTCTTCATATTAGTCGTCTGTCTAAGTGAACTCTCAAGTACTTAGCAGAGGCGCATTGGGGAATTGGGGTATTTTTTAATTAAATATATCTGTGGGCATGTTTCTCTCATATTTTTGAATGTTACGTGAATTGATTTTGCACCGTTAACCCTCTAGCGGCATGAGGTCTCACAGCTGGTTATTCGGTGAATCGGTATTTGTAGCTCTTAGGCCGCATGCAGCCTTACAACAGCGTTGTTATCAACAAAAGTTCCAGTTAGAACGTCTTTTGACGTTAGTAGGTAGAGAATTGGACTTAGTATGTTGCCTTATGGGTCCCCTGCTTCAAAGCTATGAAACGGAAACATGGCGTTGTCATGCGTTATATAAAAAAGACTTTGGCTCGTGTATGATTTAATTAGCAAATATAAATTAGGTTCCATAACTTGTCAAAAGCATAATCCGAATTTCACTTACCGAATTCTTCATTTCTCTAACGCCATTTGAAGTCTTCCCCAAGCCAATGGGTAAGCTCTCCTAGCTTCCTCAGGCTCAAAGCTATCTTAATCTTAGAGTCAGTAAAAGCTTGTTCTATAAGAGGTGTACTCAATACTACTCAGGGAGCTTAGCTTTACCAGCCTCTAAGATTATCTAGACACTTTAGGCTCCTTTTATTGTGTTCATGGAAAACAAACAATGAAACACCCGACCCTTTTCGAGAGTTTTTGTAACGATTTTAAGACGCCTTTCTTCAGCATTAGTTCTAACTCTCTTTTCTGTATAAAAATCAATTTACGGAGAGCTTTTAAAATTTAATTAAATTCCGTCTCCTTTTTCCATCTGATTTATAATACCTGATAGGCAAAGCTGTAGGTATTTAGTGTAAGACACAAGTGGAGCCGCGACCGGTTTCGGCTTCAGAGCATTGCGGATTGTCGTGTCACTGGTTTTCAGTCATCGGTCTGTTGAGCTTTTCGCTTATCATTCCAGTGCTCGTCTCGGTCAGTTGGGTGGTAGGTAGATGACGCTGAGTTCGTTGTCAACTATAACTCCAACTACACCGTATCGCACTTCTACTGAACTTGTTCATCGGCTGCTCTGTTTGACGAGACTTCTCATGAGAGATAGGAAAAAAGTCGATTTTATTGTTGTAAGCAGAAAATACTTTTTGAGATGGTCATTAAGAAGTTCAGAATCTCTAAACGGGATTTCGTTCAGACATTTTCAGATTTCCGAAGTATTTTTAGTAGCTTTTTTGTTGGCTTTCCACAGAGAAAAGTTGTAAAGTTGGAGTTTGGATCCACGCGCTGAATAAATGATTGTATGTTTCCGATCTTTTGTCACAGAAGAATAGCTTTGAGTTCTTTAGTCTAATCTTATCATTATAAAACTTTATTTTATTTGATTTCAGCTCGTATGAGCTTTTCGATTAAAGCTTTTCTCAATTTTCTTTCCTTTATAAGTTTCTGCCCCCCTCTCCCTTTTACTACACTGAGTTCTTACTATCATAAATTCATACAGATCATCCCATACTCTCTATCTATCATGCTCGTTCTGTGTTTTTCGTCATCCATCTAGGTGATACCACATCACAACAACGTCGGCCACACCACGGCAAGTAGTAGTAGTGGTAACAGGTTCATGCAACGCCGCCACGGCGGTAGTCTCCGTTGTCCTACACATCCACACAGTGCCACCGGCGAAAGTGCCAGCCACACTGTCGGCCGTTCGAGTTCATTTCGCGTGCACCGACCACGCAATCCGGCAGCTACATATGTCAGCAGTGGTAGAAGTAGTGGTAGTTGTGGTGGTGGTGGTGGTGGTGGCATAAGTAGTAGTAGCAGTATTATAACGATCAATAGCATAGGACCCAGTGCTGCGCACAGCATCGGCAGTGGACGTAGTACGGGTAGTGGTAGTAGTGGTGCCGGCGGCGGCAGTGGCGATTGCAATAGCGGTAATAACAATGGCAACTTGTTTTGCAAGCACATCAAATATTGTTGTCTCCACCAACAACAGCCGCAACTGCCTACAATACCAGCTGCCGCGACGCCGCATCTGCATCAGCATCCGCAACAACAGTCACAACCGCAGCAACAACAACCAACTATGCCGACACAGTCAAAATCACCGCATAAGCATCGTATGCAACAACAACAGCAAATAAAATCGGCAACAACTGTGCCCACAGCAGCAGCAACTGGTCATTACCTACAACACACACACCACTATCAGCCGTCAGGTGGCTCATCATACACAGCGGATTATACCAATGAGATTAGTGGCAGTGTGCGTTTGGGACCCGATGGCGAGGACAACAGTGGCGGTGATGGCAGCAAGGATCGGCATTTATATTCTACACAACAACATCATCATCAACAACAACATCAGCAACAACAACAACACCAGCAGCAACAACAACAACGTGCAGCTGCGTTACAAAAACGACATTCGGTGATATTGGAGCGAGCGTTCGATTTTGGTGAGTGAAAAAAAAAAACTAAAAACTTTTTCAAGAAGCACAAAAAAACACTGCCACAGAAAGACACGGTTTCGCTTTCAATTTGAATTTAAACGCTTTCACACACATACATACACACACACACAAAGGTAAAACAATGATATGGTGAGATTAGCAAAATGGTAAATTCTATAAAACAAAGGGAAGTTGGTTAAGTCTTCAAAGATTCCTCAACATTTTTAAAGAGTTTCGTTTGTATCGATCCACTGACCCAGAGTTATAAAGTATTACAGTTGGCCACAGCTTGGCGCCTCTGGGTGATTGCTTCTTACAACCAATCCAATGCCTGGCAGTACTCCAAGGGACAATCTGAAAATATACACGGTCGGATCAAAGACTTGAGGTAGGATAGAGCTGATGGAGATGGCTTCTTAGGGAACACGCCGATGGAACCTGATTATTGCAGTGTTTTCCAGATGGGTGTATCTGCTATCATGAAGGCAGCAAAGCAAATCGGATCCAGCTTTAACGATAATGATATTTTTATTTTTAGCAACAGTCCGGAAACAATAATAGCACTGGGTTCTCTTACGTTAAATTCGAAATTAGTGCTGGACTGTCGCCACTCTCAACACGAGATGGCCAAACATAACAGACTGTCTCTCGCGTGGGTCACTCGTCACAGGGATATCGAGCTTAACTCTAAGACGAATGAACTTGCTAGGCAAAGTACGATCAAACTGATTCTAAGGAACTACTACTTGAGAAATACACATATGAAGAAGTCGCATCAAGGTGGAATAATAATACAACCTGCCGCAAATCCAGGTTCACCTGGCCGAAATGAAACAAAAGATCACGAGACATGCACTACTTAAATAGAAGGGGGGACATGTTTAAGCTAATAGAAGTTCTCGCAGGTCACTTTCCGATAGGACAACGCACGGAAAGACCCGAAGCTCCATATAGATAACGCTGCTGAATCTGCAAGGAAGATGAGGAGAAGGAAACGCTCACCCATCTCTTATGGGACTTTCCTGCTTTGAGCATTAGAAGGTTTCGCGTTTTGTGGACCTTTTTACTGGATGATATACCGAAGATAATCGATGTCAAGGGTGTGGATCTAATGAGGTTGAGGCATTTCTGAAGCGGGCGGAGATTGTTGATGAAAAGTGTATCACTTACAGCAACGTCAAATGTAAACGGTCGTGGTCGAAGAACAGTAAGCTGGCACAAACGATCTCGAAGCCAGGTTTGATGACCAGGAAGGCTTTGTTGTGTGTTTCGTGAGATTGGCAAGCAATTAACCACTACTAGCTGCTTACCTACGGCCAAACTCTTAATTGGACTGTCTGAAGGCAGCAATCGCCCAGAAGCGCTCAGCTTTAGCCAAAAGGAGGAGAATCGTGTTTCATTATTACAAGGTCAGACCACACACACTGATGGTGATTCGCCAGAAGCTCCGAGAGCAAGGTTTGGAAGTTCTTATGCATACACTTTATAGGATGGATATCGAATAACTAAAGATGCACCTTTTCAATTCCAGCATCTATGAAAATTCCTCAGTGTGCAATAGTTGCACTACTTGATTAACTGCGTCAAATGTTCTCGTAAAGAGTTTACGACGTTCCTGTGCACCTTACAAAATCTGATAATCTGCTGGCCTCAATTGGAGAGAAGGGATATTGATCGAAGGAACTCTCATTTAGTGGTTAGTGTCCCTGATTTCAGTGGCAAAAGACTCTACTTTGTTTCCTCATTTGAAGTATTGCTAGATTGCTCTGAGATAGAATTGAGAATCTTGGTGCTAAGTTCTGCTTCCTTTGAACTCAGATATTTTAGTATCAACATACTTATTTCGCAAGAGCCGATGGATGTAAAAGCTTTCGCCTGATTGCTGCTGAGTATCCAGTTGCAATTTCAATCAACTTCAGGTTTTCTGTACTCGTCGCGTAATAATGAGTCAATAATCTTGGTGCGAGTTGCGACAACCGAAACGTGGGAAGCCTTTGGACACCGCTAAGAGAGTAGAAGCTTCCGACATATTTGATTAACGGGTTCACTGGTGTATTTCTTTAACGCCTCTTCACCAGAGTTTTCGGAACGAGTGCGTGACTGCTTTGAGACAAGCGGCTCGTTATATAAAAGTGTTTAAAGTTTTCCTACCAACTTGCATAGCGACGTTGTGTGCTTGGAACTCGCCAATTCAAAATCAACTGCAATGAAAAAACTCAACGAGCCTCGGACCAGAGACCCGAAAGCCAACTAAAATAGCGCGCACACTTTACGGTTGCGTCGAGGCGCTGCGACTGAAGGAAATTCCCAACCGCGTTATTGTCGTGTTCATTTTTTACAAAGTAATCGAGAAAGAAACTGCTCTTAACTTCCTTTCGTATTCAAAACTCAATGTATTCTATATATAATGCAACATTTTCCAAATCATATTTCCAAATCATTACATCAACACATTTCAGTACTCTTCAATTCACAATAAAAAAATCTATTATCTGTATAAAAATACGTTGTATTTGGTTTCCTTACTACCACACACCAATGTTACTGATGAAAGCGGGAGCATCTTTTATAACAAATTTCGATACACAAAATCAACACTATCCCTTTCCCCTTCCACAGATTCCATTAATATTTCCTCCCACTGCGGCTTAACACACTTCCGCTGTCCATACAAAACCTCCCTTTTGATGTTTATCCCAACACTTAAGGACAAATTCATAATAACCAAACAAATATCTATCAGTTTGCCATCATCTCTTCAAACAAAGTGCTTCAGCTGATGCGGCAAATAACATTATTTCCATTTTATATAGTTTATATTAAAAAGGGTTGTTCGTTTCGTAGTCTCAAAAGTCTAATACATACACGTAAGTGCAAGTGTAGCCAAATATCCGTGAGGACTCATGAACTGGGACTTTCTTGCGGCAAATTATGGCGTATTTGGCGCTCGGACTTACAACTACATCTATACAAAGTACAGCTCATACAGCAACTGAAGCCGACGATTTAAAAGAGTCGGTAGTGTAGATCCTTTAAAGAGGATAGCTGCCAGCTGCTGAACTCTGGCTAGTTTGCTCGTATGAAGGTACTTTATGCACTTTAGTGTGATTAAGTATTCCTTAATATGCTTACATACCAAATTTCATGTTTCTACCTCTACTATTTGGTCAAATTTTATACCCAACTATTTCGATTAGTTAATGCACTGAGATGTGCAACAGGACGTATGAGTGATATTTTTCGAATTATTTTAATTTATGAAATTATTTCCTAGTTAATTTTCTTTGCAGAAAACAGTCTAAACTTTATTGCTATTCTATGCTATTTTTATACTTTGTTTCAATTTTTTAATTTTCTTTTATTATAAAAATATTTTTAAGTTGTTTATGCTTACTATTAATTAGGTAAACATTTTTCGAACTAAAAATTGGGAAATTATATGGGAAATTAAATAAAAATACCAGCCCAGAATGTAAACACCGATATAAAAATATCTAATTGTTAATTTAAAAATTATTGAACATTATTGTTAGTAAATTTACTTACGCAACAACGAGAGCAATCCACAGGCCAGCCATATTATAAAGCTAACACCAACGGAACCAGTACGAACTAGTAGACCTGATGGCGACACAAATATTACAGACCCTGAAAATGAGGTTTAAAAATAGCCAAAATTAATAGATGTAAATATAATATATCATTAAAGGATTCATTCACTATTCACAATGCCTTACGAACGTCAATCGGATGCTTGAACAATAAACAAAGGAGGGCGATTTTTCAGACAAAATTTTCTTCAGCGACGAGGAGCACATTTTTCACACGGGGGATACGTGAATAAGTAAAATTGTCGCATTTGAGACTCCAAGAATTATTAGATAATTGAAGTGAGGCCTTTACACCTATTACTCTCTGTTGCAGCCTTTGATTCGGCGCTGCGATTGGAGCTAACTTCGTTGAAAACGACAACGGCGAGACTGTCACAGTCAGTTCGGAGCGTTACGCATGTATGGTAACCGACTTTGTTTTTGGTCAATATGTGATTTTTTGAAGTTGGTGGCACATGCCACACAACACGAGCGTTTACGGTTTGATAGCAAAAGAAATTTTCCGTACGCGAAAACTCTCAACTGGGCGATATCAATGGAGAACCAAGATTGCACGATTTGCACTTTTTTGTAGGGCTACACGAAAAACTCTTGAGCACTACGAACCCAACATACGTGAAATTATGGCTGAGATACTGCCAAATATGTGCCAAATATAATATTAAATGACAAGGTCTTTCACACATATTATGCCAAGGTTCAAACTTTAAATAAAAATGGATTTTTATGAAAAAACAAATTATTTTAAATGCATTTTATTTAGGCTTATTTTCGAAACCACATTGCTGATAACCCTGTTTTTTTTTATTTATTTATATATACATTATGGCAAAAAACATGTCCATAACCATACCAAACGAACCACAATTGACTACCAACCTTTTGCTGACCACTTTCACTATCAGGCTATCTCATTTATCGCAATAACTTTGTCACAGTCAACTCCAAACACTTTTCCTTTGAGTTTTTGTGTTTCTATTTTTATTTTCAATATCATTGACGGAGCAACCGAACAGCAGCAATCTAACCCAATTTATTATCAAAGAGTAATGAATTTTGATGGATAAGACTAAAAAGGACAAGGGACGGAAATGATGACCAGCTTAAGTGCACATTTGTAATTTTTATTATTCAGAGAGTTAAAAGATACACACACATACAAAGATATTTGTAGAAACATAAATAAAGACAATAATTTGTGGAAGGAAAAGTTGATTTTGATTTGCACGATTCAGTGGAGTTGCGCAGTTATGGTATTTAAATATGCTTATGTATGTTTGTATGTACATATATCCCTGGTGGGGGAGATTTGGGAAAATTTATGTATCCCAGGGGTGAACGCAGAATAATTTTCGTACCATTTTTTTAGTGTGTTTTAAACTTTTCCAAAACAGT